CAAGGAGAATGGCTTTTGGACAACGGGGATCACTTCTGGGGCCTCATGGATACCACACCCACTCACTCGGCCTCCTCTCTCCTCCCTTGCCATCCTAGGCCAACTCAGAGGAGTTCATCCCCATCTTTGCCAACAACCCTCGAGAGTTGAAAGCTTTCCTAGAACACATGAGTGAAGTACAGCCTGACTCCCCGCAGGGCATCTATGACACACTCCTTGAGCTGCGGCTACAGAACTGGGCCCATGAGAAAGATCCACAGGTGAGGCCTGGCGAAAGCTGCAGCAGATGCTAGAGAAAAGACAGCCCTTCCATCTTTTGTGGTTGCCTTTTGCTGCATTCTTTAGACCAGTGACCCCTCACCCTTGGGGGCTAACTGGTTCCTCCGTGAAGAGGCGATCGAAGAGGCAGTTGACTTGCCTTGTCACAAGAGAGCTTTGTGATTTTTTTCCCCCTTATGCCCAGCAACTCTACCCTCCTTCCCTAGGTCAAAGAGAAGCTTCATGCAGAGGCCATCTCCCTGCTGAAGAGCGGCCGCTTCTGCGACGTCTTTGACAAGGCCCTGGTCCTCTGCCAGATGCACGACTTCCAGGATGGGATCCTTTACCTCTATGAGCAGGGGAAGCTGTAAGATTTGGGGCAACTTCAGGGAAGGGGGAGGATCCGGTTTTCCAGGGACAGCCACTGAGGTGCGCCTTGCCCCGGCCCCAGGTTCCAGCAGATCATGCACTATCACATGCAGCATGAGCAGTACCGGCAGGTGATTGCTGTGTGCGAGCGCCACGGGGAGCAGGAGCCGTCCCTGTGGGAACAGGCACTCAGCTACTTTGCCCGCAAGGAGGAGGACTGCAAGGAGTATGTGGCGGCCGTGCTCAAGCACATCGAGAGCAAGAACCTCATGCCACCGCTTCTAGGTACTTCAGAGGGCGGTAGGGAGGGGTGCAGGCTGCCACAGCTCTGGGGCAGGGGTGCTTCCATTCTATCGAGAGGGTGCTGCTCGGTTCACTGTCTTGTTTCCTTCCGGGCCCAATCTCAGTGGTGCAGACTCTGGCCCACAACTCCACAGCCACCCTGTCTGTCATCCGGGACTACCTGGTCCAAAAACTACAGAAACAGAGCCAGCAGATTGCACAGGACGAGCTCCGGGTGCGACGGTACCGAGAGGAGACCACCCGCATCCGCCAGGAGATCCAGGAGCTCAAGGCGAGGTACTTGGCGACTAGATATGTGGAGGGGGGATAATCTTGTTCTTCACTGGGTGTCATTAAATACTTTTCATAGAGGATTGTATGAAAATATGTTCAAACTTTGCATTTTTGAAGATCTGTTTTAATGGAAGAATTCCAAAGAATGGTTTATTCCATAGATCGTTATTCATTAGGTTTTTGGACGATGTTAACTTGCAGCAGGTGTTTTTCTTTTTATGAGTCTGTATTTTTTTCTAAAGACACTTTTTTTTTTTTTTTTTTTTTTAAAAAGAGGGAAAGGGAGAGAGGGCGAGAGCAGGGGAGGGCTGTGAGATCATGACCTGAGCTAAAATCAGGAGTCAGATGGCAAGCACTGATCTTAACACAGACAGAAAAAAGCCCTGCCATGTGGAGCTTACAACATAGAGGTAGGCATGCGCTGAATGCATTCAAGAAAATATTACAGTATGTCAGATGGTGATAAGGTCTAAGGAGAAAACTAGTTTAGGAAGGGGAGTGGGGTGCTGTGTGTGTGTGTGCGCGCTCATTTATAAGGTGGCCAGGAAAGTCCTCACTGGAAGGATCACGTCTAAGTAAAGATCTGAAAGGTACAAGTTGCCCAGCTGTGGAACGAATGTCACAGGGATGAAAGGTACAGCACAGGGAACGTAGTCGGTGTGGTAATGGTGCTGTGTGGTGACAGATGGTAGGTACACTTGTGGTGAGCGTATAGTGCAACACACAGACTTGTCAATCACCGTGTTGTACACCCAAAAATAATGTAACGTATGTCAATTATACTTCAATTAAAAACAACAACAAAAAAACGGCGCCTGGGTAGCTCACTCGGGTTAAGTGTCCGACTTCAGCTCAGGTCATGATCTCAAGGTTCGCGGGTTTGAGTCCCATGTCAGGCTCGCTGCTGTCAGCTTGGAGCCTGCTTCGGATCCTCTGTCCCCTTCTCTCACCGCCCCTCCCCCACTCGGGTGTGTGTGCTCCCTCTGTCTCAAAAATAAACAAACATGAAAAATTTTTAAAAACCGTGAAAGACAATTTAGTGGTGGTTGTGAAAACTGAACCGGTTAGTCGGACTTGCTGGAAGCACGCTGAGACTCTGCAGGCCCGGGCGGCATCCTCATTTCACTCCCTTTTGGTGGTTAAGAGCAAGACCTTGTAGTCCCTCGACAGGGACCCCTCATCGACTCCAGCCACCTTCTCTCTGCACCCGGCTCTTGGCTCTGCCCCCACTCTTTGCCACTCCTTTCTGGTCTCCCTTGCCTGCAGTCCGAAGATTTTCCAGAAGACCAAGTGCAGCATCTGTAACAGTGCCTTGGAGCTGCCCTCGGTCCACTTTCTCTGCGGCCACTCCTTCCACCAGCACTGCTTTGAGAGTTACTCGGAAAGTGATGCCGACTGCCCCACCTGCCTCCCTGAAAACCGGAAGGTCATGGATATGATCCGGGCCCAGGAACAGAAACGCGATCTCCATGATCAGTTCCAGCACCAGGTGGGCATGAGTGGGTAGATGACTGCCCCACTCACGGAGAGTCACGGGAGCATTCGCTTCTTTTCTTTCCTCCTCCTCAGGACAGGACACCTGCAGTTATGATTCTTCTCTCCTCTTTCCCTGCAGCTCAAGTGCTCCAACGATAGCTTCTCTGTGATTGCTGACTACTTCGGCCGAGGGGTTTTCAACAAATTGACTCTGCTGACCGACCCTCCCACGGCCAGGCTGACTGCAAGCCTGGAGGCTGGGCTGCAGCGGGACTTGCTCATGCACTCCAGGAGGGGCACTTAAACAGCTCAGGGGAAGGGGTGTGATAGTGGAGGCACAGTAGTAGGGACATGGGGGACAGAGGCAGGGCTGTTGCACAGGAGTCAGGCAGACATGCCCAGGACTCCACCCTGATCTGATGCCATAGCCCTCAGGACTAAAGAGGACTTTTTCTCCCTCCTTCGGCCAGCCCGCCATTCCTCCTGTTGACTTTTTGAGCAGTGTGGATCATTCCAGACCAGCGGGGGAGGGTACCTCAGCAACCTCTGAGTGTGGACAATAGCTGCTTTGTTCTCTATCCAAGGGCACCAGGCTGTGCTTGGGTCCTTGCTCCCAGAGTCTATAAATAAAAGAATATAATGGTTTGGGGGTTGAAGGTTTTGTTCTGGGGACTTCTTGGTGATTCTTAATTGTGCAAGATGTACTTTCCCTCTGCTCTTGTAGAACTCCAATTCCCTTCTTGCAGGGTTCTTTGAAGATTATGTTGACAAGACCTCATTCCAGTAATAGGTGGGGCTGGTGGCCTCCAGTAGACCAGTTTACTGAAGAGCCTCAGTGAGGAAAGGCCTGGTACCTGAGCTCCAGGAGCAACCTGGACCAAGGCCCCCAGACTAGCGCCTGCTCTGTAGTCTGGCTGGTCTCAGTGGCTCTTGTTTGCACAAAATACTCAAGCAGGAGGCAGATTCTGGTGGGAATCCTGGGGTTTGAGCCTGCCTTCATTATGCATAGGTTGGTGTCTTGCCGGATTTAGTACCAAGTGATAAACAAGATAGAAGGGCCTTGGTTGAAACGCTTTTTTTCCTACCTCTTGGAAGCTGCCCATTGAAGTTTGTGTGGCTACGTGTCTGCCTACAAATGTGTCGGAAGACTGCTCTTACGTGTTACTCAGCTGAGGAGTAACTCGGACATTGTGCTTTAGAGTTTAGGTAGTATGTGGAAAAGGGAGAGTACGCTGTATTTGCAGTGGCTACGAATACAGACTTCGGGGCCGCTGACCTAAGTTTGAATCCTAGTTTGATTTAGGTTGTCTCTTACCTCCTCTGAACCTGTTTCTTCGTCTGTACGTTAGGAATGACAACATCGCGTATAGCTGTTGTGAAGGCCTGAGGCGCGAATGGGTGTCCAGTTCCTTGGTGGTAGTTAGCACGTGGGCACTCAGTGCATGGTTATTAATACAAGCACTTTCTCCAGCACTTTTCCCACTAATAATTATGTGCCATTTATAACGGCACTCCCACTTGGGTTGCCTTTTTTTTCACGTTTGTTTATTTTTTGAGAGAGACACAGTGTGAGCAGGGGGAGGGGCAGAGAGAGGGAGACACAGAATCCATAACAGGCTCCAGGCTCTGTGCTGTCAGCAGAGTCCAACATGAGACTCCAACCCACGAACTGGGAGATCATGACCTGAGCCAAGAGCTAAAGTGAGACACTTACCCGACTGAGCCACCCAGGCGCCCCCCTTCTTGGGGCATGACCTTTGATCTCTGAGCCAGTCTCCTCAGTTAAGAAATACGAGTGTTGCCTATTTCAGGGCTGTGGCAGAGCGAAGTTTTAATAGAACAAAGGAAGCACCGCATCAGTTTCACTAATTGTGCCACAGCCAAGGAGATAAAGCTGTAGAATTCTGGGTGACCAACTTTCTGCAGCATCCTCTTATCTGGAGGTGTTGAATCCAGTGGAAGGGGCATGGAAGTTACCCAAGGACGCTTTACTTCAAACGCAGCATTTTAGAGTTAATACTTTTCCTCTCGGGCCCTGCTAACTTTGGCTTGGCCCTTTGGGTGGCGTCGGAGGGCTGCTCTGCGGGTAAATCTGGAGAGCATCTCTTAGTCATTGACCATCAGTACTCCCGGCTCAGAACGAGGTATATGTAAAAGTAATAATGAATGGTTAATAGGCCCGGGTCTCCAGCAAGGAAGACGGGCGCACAGGGTCCCCAGGGTCCCCACCGGCCGGGTGGAGTAGGGGCGGTAACAGAAGGATAAAGTCAGGTCTGTCGCAATCCTTCTAATTCCCGCCCCGAGGGTGGTCCTCCCCTCCGGGGGCGGGCGCCGGAAGTGACGGAGAGCCCGGAGTCTGAGGCTGCAGGAGGAGTTCGCACCCCGCGTGCACCTGGTGCCTGTTGGCCGGGACCTCCGGCTTCCCTGTACTCCCGGGGACCCTGGCGGCACCTCCCGGACCTACCTCCTGAGCACAGCCATGTCTGACAATGGCAACGCGGCCGCGACGGCGGTGAGTATTTGAGCCGGTGATCCTCGCAACTTCGGCATTCCGGACTAGCCGGGCAACGATTGGCCCCAGGTTGCCACCCTCCGTCATCTATTGGTCCGAGCGACTATCCGTCATTTTTTTTTTTTTCGAAGTAGTTTTTTAAAGGACCAGTAGCTGAGTTGCCCTTAGGAAGGACGGGAGATCAGGGAGCTGTGGGGGCGGGATTAAGAATGGAGGGATAGTCTGGAACGAAACCCCCATACCTGCGAGGATCTGGGTGGGGTTCCGCCGGGCCTGGTATCCACTCTAGACTTAGTGAACAGCCCAGATAAGTTCGTCTACACAAGATCGGGACCCTTTTATACGAGACAGGGCCGAGGCAGCATTCGGCCACTTTAGGAATATGTTCCACTTCGGATCCTGAGAGGAGAGTGTACCCCAAGTCTTCCACTTGCACACACACATCTTGGAAGTGCGCCTTCTCCCCTTTTTCCGTTTTATCGGTCACTCAGCCCTGGCCTACTCAGGAGTCCCCAGCTGAGACACACCTTAGGGTTACGATGGTGGGTGGGGCGCCACCCTTGCGCCTTCCTCTCCCAAGCTCGGCGCCGGAGCTGTGGGCTTGTGTAGATGCAGACTACAGCCAGTGGAGGCCACTGCTAGCCTGAGATAAAGAGATGGGCAGGGGCCCCTGGGTGGTTCAATCGGTTAAGCGTCCGACTTCAGCCGGTTTGTGAGTTCGAGCTCCACATCGGGCTCTCTGCTGTCATCACAGAGCCTGCTTCTGATCCTTTGCCCCTGTCATTCTCTCTGCCCTTCCCCCCAGTGCTCTGTCTCTCTCTCAAACATTTTAAAAAATGCTTATCTCCCGTTGTCCAGCCTGCTGGTGAGGAGAGGGATTTTTTGCCATTGCACACATTCTTCTCTTTTAAATTCTTTTTTTAATGTTTATTTTTGAGAGGGGGGGCGGTGGACAGAGAGAGAAGGAGACTGAATCTGAAGCAGGCTCCAGGCTGTCAGCACAGAGCCAGATGTGGGGCTGGAACCCACCAACCGAGGGGTCATGACCTGAACCGAAGTCGGAGGCTTAACCGACTGAGCCACCCAGGCACCCCTACCATTGCACACATTCTTGAGCACTAGGAGTAGGAAAATTTTCGACTAGGAGTAGGAAAATTCTAGCTCCAACTTTTTGCCCATTATTAGCTGTGTGACTCTGGGCAAGTCATTTCACTCCTCAGTTGCTTCCATAACATGGTGCTAGAGATCCTGCCTTGTCTAGCTGATAGGTTGTCATGAAAATTAAGAGCAATAGGATACATGTTCAATAAATAACTTTTTTTTCCAATTTTTGAAAAACATTTATTTATTTTTGAGAGAGGGAGAGACAGAGCATGGGCAGGGGAGGATAGAGAGAGAGGGAGACAGGATCTGAAGCAGGCTCCAGGCTCTGAGCTGTCAGCACGGAGCCTGATGGGGGCTTGAGCTCCCAAACCGTGAGATCATGACCTGAGCCTGTCAGAGGCTTAACCAACTGAGCTACCCAGGCGCCCCCAATAAGTAACTTTTTAATGGAATAAAATATACTGTGCAGAATCGATGCAGGGATTGTTTGAACCCAGCAGTTTCTGAGACCTTAGATTTCTTTCTCTAGGCTCCTAGTGGCCCAGAATTTTAGGGGCCATATTTAGCATTTCAGGCCTAGCCTAATTTGCTTAGGGTCCCTAGGGTTTATTTATGGGAGAAGTGACAGCAATGCAATAGACTGCGGTCCAGGAGCAGCCAGCTGTCACATCCCCAACAACAGAGGCCTCAGAATCCTGCCTGCAAAACAACTCTACGGGTTAAAGATCTCAGAATAGGGAAAGTTGACATTATCTGCAGTGGCTACTCTTTGGTCTAGAAAGAAATAGGACCTGAGACTGAGGAATGCAATTCTACCTGCTAGGCACTGAACACCTTTGTCCAGGGTGCCCTGGCAGGAGGAAGAGGCATGTCCCTTTGAGTTCCTAGCTTGGTCACTGACCTCCTGATATTTCTGGTTGGTGAGACCAGAGGCAGCACTCTAGGTGAATGGACAGTAGGCAGCTCAGCCTTTCAGTCTTATAAACATCAGCAGCACCGGGGCGCCTGGGTGGCTCCATTGGTTAAGCGTCCGACTTCGGCTCAGGTCACGATCTCACAGTCTGTGAGTTTGAGCCCCGCATCGGGCTCTGCGCTGACAGCTTGGAGCCTGGAGCCTGCTTCCGATTCTGTGTCTCCCTCTCTCTCTGTCCCTCCCCCACTCATGCTCCGTCTCTCTCCCTCTCTCAAAAATAAATAAACATTAAAAAAAAAAAAAATTAAACATCAGCGGCAGAAAATCCTGGAGTCCAAACCTCTTCGTTTTATAGATGAACAAACTGATACTAATGGGATGGTATGCTCAAGGTCACCTGGACTCTACAGAAGATCTGTTTGATCCCAGTCCTGTATGTGTACATTCCAGCCAGATTAGGGAATCCATGGTGTGGCACCTGTGGGGTAGCGCTCGGTATCTAGGTGGCACTGAAACTTTCTCCCGTGCCTGCTGTATTGTGGATACTGAACTTGTCCTCAGTGACTCAGCGCAAGTTCCCTCGAGGCCCCAGCTGCCCTGCCCCTGCCTACTGCAGGGCCCACCCTCCCTGTGGCCAGGCTGATGGGCCTTATCTCTCAACCCACCTGGCTGTGTGCAGCACTCCCACCACCTTAGCCGGGATGGGCTTCTGGACCCAGTGTCCGGTTATTACAGCAACAGCAACAGCGGGTCCTGCTATTGCTTCCCTCAGGTCTCTGTTTCTCTGGATCCGTGAAGAGGGCAAAAGGTGCTGAGGCAGGTAAAGGGACCAGTCTTGGAGTACTTTCCCACTCCAAGGCTCAGCTGGCCACAGGCCAGGGGCTGGCTGAGGTTCTTTTCTTCCAAGCCAGGGATTCTGGTTCTTGGACAAGGTGTTGAGGCACACGAGGAACAGAGGGGACTGTGACTTGGGGACTTTTTCTGCAGGAAAAAAACAGCCCAAAGATGAGAGTGATTCGCGTGGGTACCCGAAAAAGCCAGGTGAGTACGGTTACTGGGCAGAGCAAGTTTGTCACAAGAGTTCTGTGCTCCACAGTATTGCAAGCTGGGGGGCCGAGAGGGTTAGGAATGGAGGAAACTGGGTGGGGGTGGGGGGCTGGGTGTTAAATCCCACGCAGAATGGTGTATTGCGTTCTGTGGAGAGATAGTCCCCGGGCTGAGCAGACCAGGCCAGGCCCCTCTCCTTCCTACGTGGGCATTCAGCTACCTCTCTGACTCCAATTCCTTCCGAGTCTCCCAAACCCTGCGAGGGTGTGAGCTCGGGGCAGTGCCAGGGAAGGATAGGACTAATCTGAGTGTTTGCCTCCAGCTGGCTCGCATACAAACAGACAGTGTGGTGGCAGTGCTGAAAGCCTTATACCCAGGCCTGCAGTTTGAAATCGGTGAGTCTTCTGGACAGGAATGGAAGCTAAAGGGAAGCCCTTTCACCCCAGAGGGGAAAACACAACACTGTTGGCTTTCCCTGGACCCAAAGCTTGGTCCCAGTGCCTTTAAGAATCGTTAGCTGTTTCCCCCGCCCCTCGCAAAAGAATTCTTAGCTGTTCCCCCCTCCCCCCCCCCAAAAAAAGAGAATTCTTAGCTGTCCCCATTTTGGAGGGCCATTTCCTCCTCTGAATACCTCTAGCTTTGACTCCCTGGGCTAACCTGGCATTTTGCATCTTCTGCTTTGGGTCTTTTTATGAGTGTGTCTGGTCTTCCTAGATCGTACATTCCTAGAGGGCAAGGAATTGGGCGGGGGTGGGGGAGGGGTGCCTGTATCCATTAGGAGTCTTAGTACAGTGCTGGGCTCAGTAGGGGCTCATTAAACGCCGATCGATGAGCACGTGACTGATTCTCTCCTCAGTTGCTATGTCCACCACAGGGGACAAGATTCTTGATACTGCGCTCTCTAAGGTAACGTATTCCCCCCAATCCCTTTCCCTCCTTTCTCTTTCCTTCCCCCAAAAGATTCACTCTGAGGCTTTTTCCTGACCTGCAGATTGGCGAGAAGAGCCTGTTTACCAAGGAGCTGGAACACGCGCTGGAAAAGAATGAGTATGTGAAAGTCGGGAGAGCATGGTTCCGTCCCAGTCTCTCACTGGGACCCCAGTGCACATCAGAGCTGGATATCAGCTAGGCTGGGGGGCTTCAACCCTTGGCTAGAAGGAGGCTCATATGTGGGTTTTTCAGACCTCACAAAAGGGGAGTGTCCTGGTTCCTAGCCATCTGGCTGCCTGGAGGGCAGGATTGGCTGGGGCATTGGGGACAGGAGGGAGGGTGGGGAGGAACGGGTCTCAGGGTCCTGAGGTTTTAGACGTGCCTGCTTCCTAATGTGCTCTAAGCACACCACTGAAGTAGAGGCAGGTGTAGGTAGAGGAGGGGTGGGGGCCTGCTGCTGGGATCCCTTCTCCTAGCCTCCCTCTCCCGTCTCTTTAGAGTGGACTTAGTCGTTCACTCCCTGAAGGACCTGCCCACTGTGCTTCCTCCTGGCTTCACCATTGGAGCCATCTGCAAGTAAGAACGCTGCGGTCGGGGGATGGGCAGGCGGGTAGGCATCATGTTGACCTTTGCTTTTCCCTTTGGGACGCTACCCTCTGCCTCTACGGCTGAGGGGTGTCAGGCATGGCCAAAAACAGAAAATGCCAGTTAGTTGGCTATCAAGAGACCCTGGAAGTGACCTTAACTGAGATCTCTTTCTCATTCTGTGACTTTTCCTCCATCTCCAGGCGGGAGAACCCCTATGATGCCGTTGTCTTTCACCCAAAATTTGTTGGGAAGACCCTAGAAACCTTGCCAGAGAAGAGGTGAGTGGGGCCCAGATAGACATCCCGGTGGGACATGCACAGAAGACAGAGGGCTAAGAGGAGGAGGAAAGGAACCATGCCTTTCTTGGGTTAAATCTCATTTTACACCCTCTCTCTGAACAGTGTGGTGGGAACCAGCTCCCTGCGGAGGGCGGCCCAGCTGCAGAGAAAGTTCCCACACCTGGAGTTCAAGAGCATTGTATCCTTTCAGAGGAGGGAGGGGGCAGTAGCCAGGGAGGAAGATGAGGTCCATGGGGCCACTTCCAGAGGAAGTGGACCATGGACCAGCAGGTCTGTCCTCCACTGTCTGCCCTATTTGTCCATCTACCCATCCATCCATCCATCCATCCATCCATCCATCCCTAATCCTTTTATGTTTTCTTAGCCCCAGGCCAGTGCCTGGCACTGGGGATAGTGGTGAGACCAACGATGTCCTTGCTTATAGAGTTATATTTTTGCCTGGAGACAAACAGGCATTGATAATACAGAGTGATACTGAACAGTGATTACTGGGGAACAGGGGAGGTGGAGGGTGCTTCCATTTTTGTTTCATATTCTACTATATTTTGATGTTCTAAATATATCAAATGTTTCATAAAGCTGATTTTCAAAATAGTACATGTTGAGTGCTCCAGTGCACGAAGTAGGGAATTCTCTAGAAGCTTCTAGCTGGAACATCGATAAACACAGACTTGGGGGTCGGGGAATGCTTCCCAGAGATCTTGTAATCTCAGGCAAGTTATTCAACCTCTCAGGCAAGTTATTCAACTTGTCTGTATCATTTTCCTCATCTGTAAAATGGAAGTAATTATAATACCTACCTCATAGGATTTGTGAAAATTAAATAGATGTATGCAAAGCACTTTAGATCAGTGGTATGTAGCAATTAAGTGTTAGTAATTAAGTAAACGTTAGCTGTTATCAGTAAGCTGAAAACTAAAGGTGAGATGTTAGTTGGATCCAGAAGGACTCAGGCAGGGGGAGCAGCAGCATGAGGCTCCAAACTGCCCGGCGCTTGTGGTCCTTAGCGTCTCTGCACAGCGGGGAAATCTCAACACACGCCTTCGGAAGCTGGATGAATTTCAGGAGTTCAGTGCCATCATCCTGGCTGCAGCTGGCCTGCAGCGCATGGGCTGGCAGCACCGGGTGGGACAGGTAAGGGGCTGTCCCTTCTCCATCCCCAGTTAATCTTCCCCCTGTTCCTGCCTGTATTCTCTTTCTGAACACCCTGCCTCTAACGGTATGCACTGGAAGTGAGTCCCAGGCTGGGAAGATTGGGGATCAGAGGATAGACCCCCACTTTTGCCTACCTAGGCTTTCTGTGTGGTAGGGAAGCCCCATCTCACTACTGTCTGCTTTTAGTACCCCCAGTTCCACCCTTTTGAGTGCCTATTCTGCCCCTGCAGATACTCCACCCGGAGGAGTGCATGTATGCTGTGGGTCAGGTATGTTTGACCTAGGAAGCCATGTGTTGATGTGCTCTTTTGTTCTCAACCAAAAAGCTGGTCTTGCAACCTTGTGCATAAACATTTCTAGGGAGGGGGAGGGCTTGCGAGATTTCTGGGCTAAAAGAGACCCCAGGGAGCAGGTGGAGATGGGCTGGTTCCCATGCTCAGCTCCATTGGTTGGGGAAAGATTAGGCCTGATGTCTTAGGCTGTTTTTCCCTCAGGGGGCCCTGGGCGTGGAAGTCCGAGCCAAGGACCAGGACATCCTGGATCTGGTGGGTGTATTGCATGATCCTGAGACCCTGCTGCGCTGCATTGCCGAGCGAGCCTTCCTGAGGCACCTGGTAGGACCTGTGTTCCGGGGATTGGAGGGGTGGGGACTTGAGGAGTTGGGAATAGTCATGGAGGAGATTTCTCAAATTGATGCTCTTTATTTCATGGTAATTCATTCTTGAATGTATAGGCAGGACTGGGCTCCTGCCTGTTTCAGTTATGTCTTCAGAAGTCTATCTCTGAGGGTTCTGGTGACAGAGTCCTTGGAGACACAAGAGTCCTTGGAGTTCACCGGGCAACTTCTCATTGCAGGAAGGAGGCTGCAGTGTGCCAGTGGCCGTGCATACAGCTATGAAGGATGGGCAAGTAAGCACTGTGACATTTGTCCCCATGCACGTCAAGTTGTCCACAAGAGCCCAGGTTTCTAACCATTTCTCTCAGAATATGCTGAGATAACCGTTTTCTTTCCCAGCTGTACCTGACAGGAGGAGTCTGGAGTCTAGACGGCTCAGATAGCATGCAAGAGACCATGCAGGCCACCATTTGTGTCACTGCCCAGGTGCCAAAGCTGGAGGGTGAGGGAGAGGGTGAGAAACAAACCTGCATGTTACCTCCTCTTTTGTGCTCACCAAATTCCCCCTCCTTCCCTCACTTAGCATGAAGATGGCCCAGAGGATGATCCACAGCTGGTGGGGATCACTGCCCGGAACATTCCACGACAAGCCCAGCTGGCTGCTGAGAACCTGGGCATCAGCCTGGCCAGCTTGTTGCTGAACAAAGGAGCCAAGAACATCCTGGATGTTGCACGACAGCTTAACGATGCCCACTAACTGGTCTGTGGGGCACAAGTGCCTGGGTTGCTATAATGCAGCGCCTGCATCCCAGCCCTAGTGCCCCGGTCTCACTGCTAACTGGGGAGTGATTACCCCAGGGGATTGAACTGCAAGGTCAGAGACTCCCAGGGACTTGCCTCACCTTGGGGCTGTGTGAGTGCCTTGCCTCCTCAGTAGGTGGGGGTTTCATCTCTTTAGAGAAAAAGTTCAAGCCACAGCCTTTGAATGTAACCAACTCAACTAATAAACCAGCTCTGAAGGTGACTTTGCTTTTGGTGGGGTTGCAGTTCAAGGACCAACAGAAAACCTTTTATGCTAGAGGCTGGGACGTCTGTCCAAAGTTCTTCTGGGACATTTTTGGTTTCTGCCACCGTAGTTATTTCAAACAACAAATGGTCTCCCAGGGAACACCAAGAAAGCCGTGATCAGACAAACCTAGGACTTGCCCCTCTCGGGCTAACCCGTGTGTCTATCAGGTGAGCCACGTATCAGATAGCCCCCCTCCCCCACCAGCCCCCACGACCTCAGGAAGATAGGAGTCTACAAAGTCAACCCTACAACTCGTACAGAACGACCACAGACATTGCGTTTTTAAAAAACAATCCTTTAATAAACAAAATTAGTCCATCTGAAACTCCCCAATATGTAAGGTACTAGTCTTGGATGGGTTATAGCTGCAAAATTCCAGTTCCGAAGCTATCGGAGGCTCAGTGCAGACGGGGACTCACGGGCCGGTGCTGGTACGAGGCGCGTGGCCCGGTAGAGTAGTCGCCGGAAGCGAAGTGGGGCGAGCGGCGGAGCCAGAGGGCCCGGCGGCGGTCACACCGCGGGCGCGCGCACACCTCCTGCGGTCCCCACGGCCCGCAAACCCGGGCTCCCCGCCCATTCCCCGCCGCGGGCCGGCCCCCCGGGCGAAGGAGGCGGGAGTCGGGGGTGCTGTCAGGACGAACGGCGATCGGTCTTTCCCGCACCGCGTGCGATAAAGTCCCGGCCCCGGCGCGCGCCTCAGCCCTGCGTCAGAGCTGCGAGCGGCTCTTCCAGAAGGCACCGCGGCCTCACCGCAGCCCACCGGCTGTTCCGGGGCCGGCGCGGCTGAGTCACGGGCGCCGTGGAGGGCAGGTGCGCGCCCCCAGCCCCCTCCCAGCCGCAGCTCTCTGGTCTCTGCGCCAGGCGAGCGGGGCCGCCCCTCGGCCCAAGACACCGAGAGCGAGGACCCGCGAGCCCGCGCGGGGGAGGGGTGGGCCGGGCGGCGGCGGCGACGACAACGCGGGAGGGGGAGCCGAGCGCCGCGGCCTCCCGCCCCGAGCCCGACGTGGCTCAGCTCTTTCCGTGAGGGCTGTGGTGGCCCTTAAAAGGGCCTTTGTGGTGGCATGGGGGGCCGGCTGCGACGCGGGCTCCCCTCAGTACTCCTGAGAGGCCTGGGTGGCCTTCTTGCCGCCCGCCGGCGCCTTCGGCCCCACGGTGGCGCTGGTTTTCTTGGGCAGCAGCACGGCCTGGATGTTGGGCAGGACGCCTCCCTGGGCGATCGTCACGCCGCCCAGCAGCTTGTTGAGCTCCTCGTCGTTGCGGATGGCCAGCTGCAGGTGGCGGGGGATGATCCGCGTCTTCTTGTTGTCGCGGGCCGCGTTGCCCGCCAGCTCCAGGATCTCCGCGGTGAGGTACTCCAGCACGGCCGCCAGGTACACAGGCGCGCCGGCGCCAACCCGTTCGGCGTAGTGGCCCTTCCGCAGCAGCCGGTGCACGCGGCCCACTGGAAACTGGAGGCCGGCGCGCGACGAGCGCGATTTGGCCTTGGCTCGGGCCTTGCCGCCCGTCTTGCCACGGCCCGACATGCTGCGCGAGGTAGAGAAGCGGTGAAGAAGGACGCCTACCAAAAGGCCAACGAACAGCCGCCCGCCGCAGTCCAACTGCTGCCGCGCGCGCCCAGAGGCCGCCCTTATAAGCCCCCAGGGCACACCCCCGCGCCCTCCTGATTGGCCCTTTTCTCTAATACCCGCCTCCGGTTGGTTGCAGTTAACCCTTCAGTGACGTGCCACGACTGAGGGAGCGCGCCCGCCGATTGGTCGAATTTGAAAACCTTTTGCCCGGGGAAAAAGGCGAGGAGGAGTGGTAGCACGCAGCCAGCCAGCCACTCCCTGATGTAGCCAATCTATGTGAAAGGCGCCAGATTTAAACGCTCCAGCTGGAGCCCAGAACCGGAAGACAAAGAGGGTGGAGTCTGAGCCACCTCAAGAGCCTCTGGGAAATCTTTGCGGGCCTAGGAGTTTTCACGGCAAAGGATCAACACCACTGCCTCCCCTTCCAGGTTTGGTCACCCTCTTTTTTCTCCCTCCTCCCATCCTGCAAAGGTAAAGCTGAAGAGGGAATAAATAAGACGCGCCCGCCACCCCAATTCTATCCCACACCAGAGAGCAGGTAAGTCCAATCTTATGGCCTTTCCTGCTACCTGAAGTAGCGGGACTTCAATATTTATTCAACATATTCTATCCAGTCTCCGTTCTTTGTTCGCTTCCCGATACACTGAAAGAAAAAGGACGGGGCCGAGAGAGAGGCATCCTCTTGAAGGAGGTGCCTCCCCCCACCCTCCCAATCTACCCTAAAATGCCCATATAGGAAATACACCTACCGGAACAACAAGAAAAAGACAACACTTTATTGTCACCACTGGAAGCACCTGGCCCCCCAGTCTGCTCTTACTGATCAGAATACTTAATTTATAGTCAGATATCAAGTGATCTTCAAGCCCGTGTCCCTATCCCCAGCCAGGGTTCTATTCTCAGGCCCAACATATTCCTTCAGAGTCAGAGTTGTGGATAACTGCATAAAAGCTGCAGTATCCCACCTTCGGAGGCTGCAAAGACGGGATGGAGAGGGAGAGTGGCAGGTTGAAGGAAGCCATAGCCAAAATCCAATCCACAGTCGTTAGATGTCAATAATCACAGCAGAAAGGAAATGCTAAGTACAAAATCTGGAGGAGAATGAAAGGTGGGAGAGGCCTGGCCAGGAGGCATTTCGCGTCCAGAAAGAGGTGGTGGGCCTGAGTCAGGAACCCTGCAGACCGTGCAGTACAGGGCAATGTTCAGGGGACTCAGACATCGTAGAAGAGCCGGACAAGCTGGTACCGAATGGAGAAGGTGACAGCACTGCCGAGGATCTGTGAGGGGAAACACACTAGAGTCAGAACCCTGGAAAAAGGGACACATGGCAGTGTTAAGCGCTTCCCCAACCACACCTGGAGCAGCAGCAGCAGCAGGGTCAGGTTCCTCTCATGCATGGGCCCGAAGACCTTAAGTACCAAGTTGATGAGGGTCATGTTGTTACACTCTGTGAAGGCACCGTCGTCATTCTCATTCTGGTGCACGGTCACTAGCTGGAGACTCTCTGCTACCTGGAAGGATCAGAGGTGGAGAGAATATCAACCATGCTTCAGCAATGGGGATCTGCTTCATGCTTCCAAACTCCCCTTGGATCTGATGCAGGCCTAGGTTCCCCAGTCCCTGAATTCCAGATGGCGGCCTAGAGCCTTACCTCCTTGTTACCCTGTTACCTTTAGAATAAAGGTGCCCAAGAAAGAGAGGCTCTTGGTCTTGAACTTGGAATAGCTCATCTCCAGTTTGCCTGTCTTGGTATTGAGTCTGCAGGGGGAAGAGAGCTTTATGTGACTGGGCCACTACAAGAACTCTCCTCACTGGGGCCAATAGGAAGAGCACTGAATGTGGAAACCAACCTAAGATCTTCTGGCTCTGCTTACTACTGTGTGATCAGAGCTGATCAGATTATGTAGGTAAACGTGCTCTGTAATTTATAAGAGCTAACCACATGGACAGAGTTAGCCCTTCTTTGGGCCCACTCCCTTTGCACAGCATATGTGTAAGGCTGGCTTTTCTGCATCCCGAGTGAAAAAGCTATGATGTCCCTTTCAAGCCCCAAAGTGGCTACCTGGGCATACGGTGGCGAGGGCAGGGTATGATATGCAGGAGCTGAGGCAGTGAGTAGAGGAAGTTGAACACCTGGGGCATGAAGAAGAGTAGCATGGTCTTGCTGAAGTGTCCCAAGATGCCCACCACGGCAAAGGTCATGCCAGCAAAGTAACAGAAGGTATCTCCCACAAACACCCGTGATGGGTACCTGTGTGGGGGAGAGGATCTGAGCCAGGGGCAGGAGGCACTACCAATCTTTTCTCGCACATCACGTACCCTGGGCCCTGGGCTAGCCCTGACTCTAGTTCTGGCCCAGAGGAGACTCCAGCGCTTTCAGCAACTGTCCAGAACCCAAAGCCCTGAGTTCATTTCTTTCTGGGGGCTCTATAGCACTTGTCCGTAACTATGATTGGATAGAGAGTAATTGAAGAATATTACCGACTAAAGACCCGGAAAACACTCACTGCAGGTGTGTACAGGTGTAGCCTCTCCAGTAGGAGGTGGGTCAAGATCAGGACCATACTTGCTACATATTCAAATAGTTATTACCCCTAGCCGCAGGCCTACTTACCAGTTATGGTAGAGCAATCCCAAAGTGGTGAAAAAAAAGGGTATCATGAAGTAGAGGGAAAAGACATGATCATCCCGATAATCACCTTTGGAAGCAGGGGAAAAAGAAAGCACAAGTTGATAGGTATTTCCCCTGCATACCTTGGTCCTATTTTTGTCTGTCTCTTAAGTTCTGTTCCAAGCTGTATTCTCCACCTCTTCCCAGTCACATTCAAGAACACACTACCCCTTTTATGTCACCCAGGCAATTCCTAACATTCCACCTTGTTCATGAACCCCTCCTAAATGAGTTACTGTCTTCAACTGGGTTTAGATCATTCACACCGAGGTTTGATATATCAGCTTTACTTCCTAACTGTGTGACTTTGATCATGACCATTTAAATTTTCTAACCCTCAGTTTCCTCAAATGTAAAATACGGTTGATGAGAATACGTGCCACATGTTACAAAGCTTAAATGAGATCATGTTTTAAAAGTGGTTGGTTTTGGGGCGCCTGGGTGGCTCAGTCAGTTGAGTGTACGACTTCGGCCCAGGTCATGATTTCATGGTTCACAAGTTTGAGCCCCACATTGGGCTCTGTGCTGACAGCTCACAGCCTGGAGCCTGCTTCAGATTCTGTGTCTCCCTCTCTCTGCCCCTCCCCAGCTTGCACTCTCTGTCTCTCAAAAATAAATAAAAACATTAAAAAAAATTTTTTTTTAAGTGGTTAGTTTTTTGTTTTTTTTTTTTTTGAAGTTTATTTATTTTGAGAGAACCAACAGGGAAACAGCAGACAGAAAGGGAGAGAGAGAATCCCAAGTAGGCTCTGCACCATCAGCACAGAGCCTGATGCCAGGCTCCATCCTGTGAACTGTGAGATCATGACCTGAGCCAAAATGGAGTTGGACGTTTAACCTACTGAGCTACCTAGATGCCCCTAAAATTAGTTAGTTTTAAAAGGCACTTACTGATCTCCATCAGCCAAAGACCACCAGAAACACACCTGTAGTCAAAGCTGGGTTTACTGACTTGTAATAAGGGAGACATTGGAGACCACACATCACAGGCAACCAGGGGATGCCTCAGTAAGAGGCGCCTATTATAGGATTTAAGTAATTCTGGGCAAAGCAAGGAGGCAGAACTTTGCCCTAGACTGGGTGCTGTCAGTAGAAGTGATTCTGTGATTGAGTATCTTAATTTTATCTAAGAATTAGCAGGAACTGAGTTATCAGAAAGCAGCAGCAACTGCCCATGTTGGCCAGAAGAGGGAGGTCTTAGTCGGTTTTATTAATGCACAGTGTTCTTGCAGTTTGTCTATATTCAGACATGGTTATGGAGGAATCTGGTTTTTGTTTTACTGTGTCATGGTCACAGAGTGACCCTTGTCTGATTCCGAGCTTCTGTGAAATTGCTTACGTTCAATAGGGGAAGACCATAACCTACCTAATAGTGCCAACCCAGCTATAAAGGACAGGGCAGCTATTTTTCTCACATTTAATAAATCTGAATATATTGCTTTTTCCCCTAACCTCCCCAAAGCCAGATATCAGGCAAGTTCCTCAACACTCAGACTTCTCTCCCTACTCCCCAATCCCACCTACCTTCCAGCTCCACCAGATTGAAGACAATGATAGAAGCAGAAATGACTAGCGACTGGCCAGCCTCTAGGCCATTAATTCCTGCTAGGATATTGATGGCATTGGTACAGAACACGGCCAGCAGCCCCATGTAGACGTAGTACAGGATCCCTGGGGGAAGAAGACAGGAGTGTGCCACTCATAGAAATGAGGGTTTAAAGGGATTCTTCAGAGACGAGTGGCGAGGAAAAAGTACAGAAGCAACAGAAAAGATCTGAGACGACACAGGGACAAGACAGGGATACTTAGGGGAGAATCTGGAGCATCAGGAAGGATGCTCTGCTAGGTATCTCCCAGCGTAAGGTGCCCTAAAGTAGAGGCCACAGGGTCAGCAGCGGCAGGGTTACTCACCCAAGTCCAGATGCAGGCCAAGAATCGGACGGAAGGGCTTGGGTACCACAACGGTCGTGTTGCCAAAGTTGGTGAAATAGACCATGAGAAGAGGTAGTGAGGCAGCTGTAGGCAGCAGCAGCTTATGGCGCCAGCGCAGATTCAGTACATCGTCCGCGAAGCCCAGGAAAATCATGCAGCAGATGGCAAGGAGCGCACCTATCAGGGCCACAAACTGGGGGAGGCTCGGGCAGGTCACAGCTCAAGCCTACTCCTACTTCGCCTTTCAAAAAATTCCTGTCTTTGCGCTCGTTCCTCAGCCCCTCAACCCAAACCCAAATAACCCCGACTCCCTCAAGTAGCTGCCAGCCCCCAGCCAACAAGCAACCGCCCCCACTCACCCACTTACTTCATGGTGCGGGAAGGCTTTACACTGCTCCTCCACAAAGCAGTTGAGGAAAGGGAAAGGGATGAAGCAGAAGAGGATGATAAGGAAAACAGCACCGCTGATCACTCCCTGGGAC